CGACGATTTGTAATTCGCCCTATTTTAAACCGACTTCAAAAAAGGAGGAGGTTCTCAATTCGACTGTATGTTCTTTTTTTTTTGTATGTATGTTACGCGATAACTCCGGTATTTGTGAACCGATTTTCATGATTCTTTTTTTGTTGGAAAGCGGGTACTTCCATAGTGGTCCCATTTCATTTTGAAGAAAATCATCCACCTCCAAGGGTGGCTGTTCACGCATTTTTATAAATAGCGCCTAACTTTAGTTTAGGAGCAATTACTTTAATGGTTGATTTTGCTATTTCTCTAATTCAAGGCGTTTTTCTCTCAATATACTTTGAGTAGTGTCGTAGTGAGAACCTATTTTTATTATCTCCAGTGTCAAGTCCTGTATAGTGGCGAACTAAGGGATATTTCAATAAAACTTAGCAAATAGACGTAATTCCACGTACTTTTGAGGTCGGTTTTTTTAGTACTCTGTACTGAGATTATTATTATGTTTATTAAACTCGGTAATCTCAGTACAAGTGATATTTTATTCCTAGCGCTAGTTCGTACAACTATTTATACAGTTTTTGCCCTCGATTTCGGGCGATAATGAATTTTAACCCGATTTTAACATAGCGCCTTGTTAAAAAACTTTGCTTATAAATAATAGTTAGGCTATATATTAGTCTGCACTGCTAGGTACAGGCCTTCTCTCACAATAAGAGGGCTTTGGCTGTAGTTGCCACACGGGTACGGGCCCGAGTGGACACATTATTAAATTGTTTTGCAGATGTGTGCAGGTTTCATGACATGAAAAGTCATGGTAAATTTCAAATTACATTTCGCACATAAATTCTGAAAACCTTTCAGGTGCAGATCCGGGTTTGAACTCTCGGCTCTCTAATTGAAAGTCGTGGTAGCGTGATGGTTTGATCTACCGAACCATTACGCTACTACGACCTCTCAATAGAGATATAATTAATTGTTCTCTCAGTGAACTACTACCACTAACACCACCAGCTGACACTTAAAAAACAATCATTGACTTCGACAAAGTGAAGATTTACAAAACAAACTTTGACAGACGTGTTTGACTTGTACAAAAGAAAAACACGTCTGTCCGGTTTCAGCCATTTAATCACTGACATTTCGGATTTACCCTACATCACGTTACATATTTATCTTAACTAGAATGTACCCTACATAACACATATTAGTTATAAACAAGAAATATAACATTTTTTAAGTTTGAATGTCACGATGTTTGACTGTTTTTTTGTTTGGCTACCATGATATTAAATTATTTTTATGAAATTGCTCCACTAGTTTGCTATAATTATTAAAACAAAGATGCGTAGCTATTTAAAAAATCCTTCGATCCGGCTGGATTTGAACCAAGGTCTTCCTGGAAACCGTTTCAGACGCTAGGCCAACTAAGCTTATTTACTTATTCTTGTGAATTCAGCTGGATTGAAGGAATTCTTTCTAAGTATTAGATCGTGTATTAACAATTGTTAGAAAAAATATATTATGTAGGTACGTAGTTGATTACCTTCATGTATGAACCGCCATTCCTCTCGTGGCAGTGGCGCCTGATGTACCGTTGGCAAATATTCGACATTTTCCACTCTGAAAAACAGACAAAGAGCATTAGAAACAATACTTTTGTTACAGATTTTCGAAAAAATATCCAAGATTGAACCATTATTTCGACAATCAGCATTGTTGCAGAAAACATAAGTACACGACACGGTGTTCATGCTCAAGATACAGCCTTTACGAAAATCCTACAGGCTGTTTCGTTGTGCTTGTAGTGGTTGAAGACAATGTTTGCTTTTCGTTTTATTTTTCGAAGGACCTGACAGCTTATGTTAAAGCTCAGTAGCTTTAACAGCAGTAGAGCTCTTTGTGAAAGAGTTCGTCCAGGGAAGTACTGCCGCCTTTCCTATTTCCGTCGCCAAGCAGTAATGTTAGCAATACTGCGTTCCGATTTAGAAGGATAATGGAGCGCCCTCACCAGCAGGTGAAATTACAGCCACTTGGGACTTGTCAACTTATTTCTCAGGGTGACGGGCGCAGTGGCAATACCCCTCAGATCTTTGCGATTTAAAACTCTGAGTGGCACTGCAATTGTTATAGACAGGCGTGTCGTTTACCATCAGGCGCACGACTTGTTCGTCGTCGAATTGAGAACCTCCTCCTTTTTGAAGCCGGTTAAAAAATAGGAACCCTTATATTAAGACTTCGGTATCCGTCTAAATGTCACGACTACTTTAACTCTGGAAGTAGGTCATTCATATGGAATAATGTCATATGAAACGTTCATTTTACAAAATTAAAATGCATTTAGGAAATTGAAACTATTTTTCCGGATTTAAATCGCGTATATATAATAGGGGTTAAAGTATGAAATTGCCGATTTGTACTGAAAATCTAAATTGTTTATTTTTTAAATTTTTAACAAATTTATTTAATCAAAATAGTTGCCATTATTATCTATACATTTTGCTGCCATCTAATGGGAAGGTTATTAATGCCTTTGCGATAGAACTCCGACGATCTAGACTGCACAAACTGTGTGAAAGCATTTTGTACTGCCTCCTGGGAAGAAAACTTCTTGTCACGTAGATAATTGTCCAAATCACGAAAAAAATGGTAGTCCGTTGGAGCAAGGTCTGGTGAATACGGAGGATGACGAATGGTTTCTAACTGCAGTTCCTGAAGGGTCAAAATGGTTTCTCGTGCTGTGTGAAGTCTCGCGTTGTCGTGGAGCAATAATGGTGAAGATCGATTCATGAGTCGGGGCTGTTTTACTGCTAGTTTTGTCAACATGGTTCGGAGTTCGGCACAATAGACATCTGCCGTTATTGCTTGACCAGATCGGAGAAAACTATAGTGAATAACACCATGCTGAGACCACCAAACAGTTACCATTACCTTTTTATTGGTAAGTTTTGCTTTAGGATACTGTTGTGGCATTTGACCTGGGGTCAGCCATTGCATTTTGCTTTTCCGGTTATCATAAAGAATCCACTTTTCATCACATGTTACAATTCGATCCAATATTCCTTCATTTCTGTACCGGTTCAACAAGGCAACACAAGTTTCAACACGCGTTTCTTTCTGCAGATCAGTCAAATCATGAGGCACCCATTTTTCGTATTTTTTTATTTTATTGATTTGACGCAAGTGAGTCAATATTGTGGGTAAGGTAACGTTAAACCATGCCGCTAATTCCTGGGTAGTTTGACTAGGATCGGCTTCCACTATCTCTCTTAATTCATCGTTATTCACCTGTGTGGGCGGTCTTCCTCGTGGCTCGTTCTTTAAGTCGAAATTTCCATCACGAAAGCGTTTAAACCAAAACCGCACGGTGCGTTCATTAGTAGACCCCTCTCCAAACGCAGCATTGATATTGCGGGCTGTTTCTGCCGCGTTAGTTCCGCGTCGGAACTCGTATTCAAAAATCACTCGAATTTTCGCAGTATCCATCTTTCTTGTCTAAATTGAATAACAAAAACAACTGAAAGTCGATATTCAAATGTTTCAAATTTAAAAAAAAACAAAAATCCCAGAAACCATTTGAAAAAAGTTTCATTCGAAAACCTCAAACCATGAAGATTCTATGAAAATTCAAAGAACCTATTGCAATAAAACGGCAATTTCATACTTTAACCCCTAATATATTTGTTTTTCCAAACAAACCAACGTTTCATCAACATATCACGATTGACTGAGGTGGTAAAGTCATCCACCAGTTATTTCTAATATTAATGCAAATCACCCTATTTTTTCACTATAGTTACAAAAGTTATTAATTAAATACCTTATTTTTAATTTTACAAAGAACATAACCAATTTACGCTACATCTGTTTTACAAATTATTTTATATTAAGAATATGAATTTTTATTCAGTTAAATTTATTATTAATTAATAATGGAAATTACAACAAATTAAGACATATTAATCAGTACTGCAGTGTTATATTTTTTAGGATTTTTCATCAGAGGAAATACTGGATCCCAAACTATTGGTGGGAAAAACCATCTTCCCTGTTGAAATTAGGATGTTTTTTAATTTCAATGACCTCTCGCAGCATCCTGGGTTTGTTTGAAAAAACAAATATACGCGAGTTTAATCCGGAAAAATAATTTCATTTTCTATGTGCAACAATGGCGAAAACCTAAGAACTCGATTAAATGCATTTGTTTTGACAAAAATGCACAAAAGATTTGTTATATATAATAAATCGCATCTCATGCTGTTATGCTGAGAAAATAAAACTTAAATAACGTAAATTGAACTACTTTTTTTCTCATTATGTAAAATCTAAAATAAAGTAATAGCATGTTGAATAAAGTACAGAAACTTCAGTGTGAAAGTTCTATCATACTTGACGTATTATTTAAAAATAATTCATTATAAAGTATCTTCTTAACATATACTCCTTAATAATCTATCATGGTATTATGTTATTTAACATGATAACATCGAAATCATAAGAACTCGTAAACAAGCAATAGGTTATCAAGTTCATGGAATTGATCAGTAGGAGAGTATAAATCCGTGCGAATGTTTAGTTCAATTCAGAATATACCTAGAAACCATTGAGAGCATAAACACACGCGCCATTATAAGGTAAGGTGCCTTTTTTGTACGTTAGTTGACTAACTGACTATTAGAGTACGGTTTTCGGGATTGCCACAAATTGGAAAATAAAACTATTTCTTCAGATCTAAATTTTGAACCTAAACGGCTGTCTACCGTGACCATGGAATTAGGGTCTGTAAAGAGCCTGAAACGTTGGTTATTCGAAAAAAACAAATGTACACGATTTTAGATTTCAATTCTATCTGACTACCGATATATTAACTAGGTCGTGAATTTTGTAAGACATGCGTTGTATGCTTTTTTTATAATACTAGGTGACGGGACGAACAAGTCGTGTGCCTAATGGCGACAACGCCTCTCCATGACAGTTGCAATGCCGCTTAGAGTTTAAATCGCAAAGATCTGAGGGGCACTGCCACAGCGCCCGTCTCTTTGAGACATAAGTTAACAAGATTACTGCTTGGCGGCAGAAATAGGTAACGTGGCAGTACTTCACTAGACGAACTCGTTCATAAGGAGCTCTACTAGCTTAGATCAGTCTACATCACTGACCTATTGAGTGTAAGAAATTACACAAGCGTTAGGTAGGTACATTGTCCCACATTCATAAACCGACGCTTTCCTCCACGACTTATTTGATATTTAAAAACAATTGCAAAATAGAGAGCTGATTTTGACTTAGATTATCTACAAATCAGTTATTTCTTCTATTACAGATAAGCAAAAATATTGTCAAGATGGTGCGTCTTACAAACGAGCAGAAACAATTCTGGAAAGACAATGGATTTATCAAGCTATCCAATATCCTCACTGAAAATGAATTCAAAGTAATAGACAAAGAATATAACAGAATCTTTAAACTGAAGAACAATCCGGGAATGGAAGCTGCTTGGGAAGGCAAAGAAATGAAAGAAGCTGCAAAAACTGAAGACTATTCCGTGCATTCAATCCACAATCTACAATTCCATAGTGCTATTTTTTCACATTTCCTCCACAATAACAATCTTTTAGAAGCTCTTGAAGACCTAATGGGAACTCCAAACATTCTTCTTCATCATACAAAAGCCCACGACAAACCTCCAGGCAAAGGAGCTCCTTACCTGATGCATCAAGATTACCACTACTTCCCCTTCAAGAAACACTCTATGGTCGCGGCTTTTCTGTGCTTGGACCAGTCTGATCCTTCCAACGGTGGACTATGTGTTTACCCCGGGTCCCACAAGAATGGACCCTTAGAAGACGTAGGCCACAAAGGAGATGGCATAGATCATATATACCATTACCAGGATCCAAACAAATATCCCTTAGATAAAGCCACGCCGATAGTTTGTGAACCTGGAGATATCGTAGTGTTTTCGTACTTGCTGTTACATGGTAGCTATAAGAACACTTCTGACAGACATAGGCGTATGTTTCTTATTCAACTAATGGCTGCTGAAGATGAGCCTATGGAAGATACTCACAAAAGTCCTGGTCAGGGTTGGATGTTGCGAGGCTCTAATGATAATAGAAAGGCAGTTATGGCAGAACGATTCTTGCATTAATTTAAGCCGTCATGTTATTTTATACATATCTAATCTGATAAAAAAAAAATTTTGCAAATTAAGGGTCGTACTCTAGAACTCTACTCAATGCTCAAGTCAGGATTGCAATTGAAACACAAGCACTGGAAATACGACCCTAATGGCAGGGACTTGAGTATGATTTCGAGTGCTTTAAACCATACTCAAATCCTAACTTGAGCATTGAGTAGAGTTCTAGAATACGACCCTAAGTCTTAACGACGTGAATCCTACTGGAGTAAGTATAAATTTTATATTAAATTGTGTATAGCATTTTTGGATTAATAGACTAACTAAAGTCGTAAACAAGTATAAAAAAATACGTATCGTCATCTCAAAGTAAAAGATTGTGAGATTTTTAATTTTTGTTGAAGCATAACTTGTAAAGTTCTTGGTTATATATTATTAAAGTAATATAGCATCCGACAGACCTGCTTCCTGCAGAGCCCTGGAAATTACATAGAAATCAGATACAAGGTATTCATCCCAAAGCGACGACGGTACACTGTTGCAATTACTTAGGTAAAGTCGACTTCAGCAAAGAGTAACCGGTTATCTGCAAGATCATGGTTTTACAGTAGAGAGTTTCGAAACTTGAAAAAATAATACATATTATATTCTCAATATCCTTCAAATATTAGCTTTTTAATATATATGCTAATTCTGTGTTACATCAGAAAATGTCAAATTTTTACTTTTAAAACGCTCTCTTGTAAAATCGTGGTTTTGCAGATAACCGATTACTCTTTGTGGTCGTCGAAGTGAAATATTTTCAATGTTAAAACAAATAAAACGCCATTCGTTATTAGGAAGGTTTGCTGTGTTTGAATGAACTTTAAAACAATGGAATATTCTCGATAATGCCAAAGGAAAACAAATAAATGCATATAACATTATCCAATAAAACATATCTACCGGATATGCAATTTGCAACCTTGGCGTAATAAGGCCATATCTGCAAAGTGCCAACTTTTCACAAGAGAGGTTTAAAGATTCTACGAAGGAAATTAGTCTACAACTTTTTTATCCTCACATAAGAGAATTATAAAATTTCACATAATATACATAATTTGTTTCAATCGTGCGTGTTATTTTTATAACTTTTACGACGTGATAAAACCACCGGTGTCTTATAATCACGTGACTTTATTATACCAAGACCGCGAATTGCACTACCGTACACATCGACATCAGAGCCTAATGTAAATGACCGTACACAAACCTATCGGAGGTGTCTGTTAAACTGTGGAAAATGTAAATTGCCATCGTGGCAAACATCGTTGGTAAGCTGAATTGCAAAGGTGGAACATCCTACAATGAGGTGAACTGACGAGATCGTCGAAGTTGTAGGCCGTAAATGGGTATGATACAAACTACGGGACTATAGCCATTAGTGGGTGAAGCGGGGATTATTGCCAACAACCTATGTCACATTATGAGTTTTTTCACCACCTCCATCTGGCTATATTCACCAGTCCACGTCACAAATTATCAGTCTCGAGTCGTTATGCGGGCACAACCTGGCAAATGCTGAGTAGAGGCCATCTTGTTTCTTGGTTATTGGTTGCTAATGTTTAGTTATTAAGAATGATCTTATGTACTTAAATCGGTTCGTAAGCTTTGCTACATATATTTCTTTTATACGAAAATGGGACCAAATAATCGTTGAATCCTAAGTCTTTTTAAATAAAAAGTGATATTTGTTTATGGTTTTTGTACAATCATTGTATAGAATGGAAAAAAAACAACCCATCGGCAAATTGTGTCAAATTATAAATATATCTAGTTGTACTTAAATTTATTGTAATTATATATAATGTATTTTTTTACATATTTGTCATTATTTCCACATCTCTGATCCTTTTTTCCAAATTATATTTGCTTCCATTATTTTCCGTAAATAAGTCCCCGTTTTCCAGTCGCACAAATGCGCACCGCGAAGTGCCAGTAATAAAACAAATAAGAGAAAGAATTTGTCAAGGCTGGTTCAAATCATGTTCATGTCAAATGATTTATTCACTATTTCCAAACTAAGAAAAACTTTTTTTTGTGTTTTGTTTATTGTTTACATATTTTGTAGCACGTTGTTTTCCAATATTCATAAATATTGTTTTGCTGTTTTGTTTTACATCCTCAACTGAGTACTCCCGTAGTCCAACTTACCAACACCGGTTAATGTCCTATTAGAGCTTAGTGAAAATTTTTTTTTGTTTCGTTTTTTTTTCTTTCAACTGTGACATTGGCAAAATCATCAGTTCTCATATTGATGGAGCCATAAAAATAAAAAGTGAAGTGAAGTACAAGTTGTGTAAAAAAGCATTACCTTACGTAATGAAAATTATACTTCTAATGAAAATATTACTTGTAACCTCACTAGTATTATTAATAAGGACAATTTGGAAGACAGAACCTGGTGAAAATTATCACGATTGGTCAGACCACATCAACAATATATCACCTCGTTTGCAATATTACTCAGCCCCTTTAACAGACCCAGATAAGTTGCGGTTGAGGATTAAAAATCACAACTTATATTCACGGGTTAGAAACTGGAAACGTTTCAGACTTCTCAAAGAGCATTCTTTTATTATCGTAGTGCAAGTACACCGCGATATAACTGGCCTGCAAAATCTAATCACATCGCTCCAGAATGCACGTCACATTGAAGAAGTTCTCCTCATATTCTCACACAGCTACTACAGTGACCTCGTAAATACCATGGTCAGATCAATAAAAAAATGCGGAGTCCTGCAGCTGTATTACCCGTACTCAGTGCAATTATATGAAAACAAGTTCCCAGGAAGAGATAAAGATGATTGCATAAATGACTCAAAGAAACAATGTTCATCTAGAAACGCTTTCCAAGCGGAAAGAAAACATCACTGGTGGTGGACAGCGCATTATGTCTTCGAGAAATTCGATATCTCGTCTGATTTTGGTGGACCTGTAGTATTTCTTGAGGAGTACCATTATATAGCACCTGACTTTATCTATATGCTACGTTATATGCGACGCGCTTTTTATTTTTTCTCAAGCGTGGAGTTAGTGACGTTTGGACGACCTGGATCTGTTGTTCTCTCGAATTTTAATATCTTATATATGCAAGCGTGGAAACCTCTGGACTCATTCGGCTTGGCATTCAACCGTACGTTTTGGCAACATATCACGGCAAATGCTATGCACTTTTGTACATACAACGATTATGACTGGAGTTACTCGTTGTACAATGTTATGAATCATTTTCAACGTGGTTATGCGGAGATGGTGACTTGTGCAGCGCAGCGAGTGTTTTCCGTTTCAGGTGCTGAAAATTTACGGGCTGTTCAGCTCCGGCTAAATCGCACGTTTAAATATTTATTTCCAAATGAAGTTAAGTTGGTGAACCTCTGGGGTGTCAATGGGGCAGCCACTCCGGCAGAATTGGCGCCAGATGCGGTACGTGCCAGAGGAGGATGGGATGACATAAGGGACCAGCTGTTCTGCTACGATATCATGGGTTCAGATACAACCACTACTGTTTAAAATAAAAGCATAATATTCCATAGACACCTAAACTGAAAACTGCCTCAGTGGCCGAACGGTTACGGCCTACATTTATTTCTCTCGTCAGTTTGGGTATAATTTGTGATTGTCTATGTGTGTGTCCATGGCACCCGCGACACAGGGATTCCCTAGTGCGGGGCTATGTTGGGTGTGTACGTTATTATTATTATTACCTATTCAGTGGTAAATTAGTTTTTGAGAGTATGGAAGTGTATCCTACACGCGATGTTATGTTAACTTATCTGATGAAATTGTTGATGTAGACCATAGTTTCCCAAAGCATATACCCCCAGTGGACGCTGAAAAGTCCTAGAGGGCGGTAGGGGCCTTGGAAGCAATTGGGTTGGTGCTGTCCAGGGGGTGCTACTGCATTAAAAAAAACCTGAATGATGTATAAACTACACTACACATATTATTTTTCCTTGTGATTTTTTGTGTTAATATAAAAAGATTCGTATTTTCAATTATTTTTTGTGGTGGTAGGCGTTGAATTTTTTTTATCTTGCCTAAGGCTCAATTTATATTATGGCGGAACGGAATGGAAGGGAATTTTTGTATGATCGAGAACGCTTGCGCATTCCGCGAAAGATTTTGGCTCGTATCTAGTCTGTACGTTACACAATTGATCATAAAGTTCATTATGCATTAAGCCTAAGTGAGCGGTGAGCCAAAAAGTTTGGGAACCTATGACGTAGACGAAAGGATGGTACACGTTCACCGAAAAAATACATATTCATCTGATTTCTGGTTATATCACTGGGGAAATACAAACAAATTCCACTCTTTCTTTCGCATATTAAACGTGGAAGCAAACCACTTTCTGTGCAAACGATTTATGTATTCAGGTCGACTCTGTTGTGATCTTAGATCCTTTCAACTTTTCATAAGAAATTTAAACAGCTAATACACTGAATATTATTGGCATCAAAATAATCATTTCGAAAATACCTTAAATAAGAATTCGACATTATGAAAATGAACGCTACACTTTCTATAATTTCCAGAACAATTTCGGTATCAAATTATCCTTACTTCCTAGATAAAGAAATCACACTTGAAATCGTCAATTTCACTAAACACTACTAGGTACTGTAGTCGAGGCTCTACTGAATGAGTAGAATCACTGGCTGAATGAATAGTTTTGTAATTAGAATGTGTTTTGAAAAATGAAGTAAGAAAAGAATACTTAGAGCATCTTGATATAACGAAATATAACCCAACGCCGAAAGCATGTAAAAAAGTGCAATAAAGTATATTTTGAACATTATTCCAGTTTAAATTCATAAAAGTACCTCTCGCTACGCAACCCAAGCTACGCCCCAGTTACAGTACACATTCGTAAGATAGATTCCTCTGAGACAATTATTTTACGTAAACAGGCACACGCCAAGTCCTCAGTCCATTATATTTTATTCGCATTAAGCCTCGTCGTCACATCAGACTAGGATCAATTCACAATTCACCAAAACTTGGCTTGTGTGGTTTTAAACCTTTGCCTTAACGGAAAGAATTAAAAATAATAATAGTGTAAACTACGTTAGTTGCTGCCCGTAGTAAATATTTTCATGAATTTTTATTTTGGTTTTGATAAACTGACTGCATTCATCGAAACTGACATTGCCTAGTGGCCGCACTTAAAGAAATAAAATCAATAATATATTCATTTGAAAGTCACTATTTTGTTGCAAAGATGTCGAAGAAACACCTTCGATCTCAAGCAAGAAAGATTGTTTCTAATATTTATCACAAAATGAGCGACGAATCATAGGTGCATCCGAGTGACAATCCACGAATTATAAGCGGGTCTCAAATCTTACAGGGTAATACAATAACATGATATACCTTATAAAAAGGTGTTACTAGAAGTGAGTAGACTTGGCGGAAACTGGAATACTTGATGCCGCCATGTTTTAATAACATAAATAAAAAATAAATTTATTACGTAATAAACACTGGCGGCTCTTAATCGTTTGATTCATTTGAAGAACAAAAGATGGAAGTGGAATGGCGGGAATTGTCTTCTTCAGAATGAAAATTTAAATAGACACAATTTCAAATTTTCTTTTTTTTGCCCAACAGCGGAAAGTATATTGGCAAAATTATTCTATTACTCGTATTACCATTAATTCACACATTGTTTTGTTTAACTGTTAAACATTGCTTCTCTGTCACACGTGCAAATTTATACAGATCTTAAAAAGTGGACGAGGTTTCATAAATTTTGATCAATTTAATATGTAAAGTATCTAGTACATTTTTTCCCACTATATTGATGTTGCCCACAAAAAAATTAAATTTGTCTAAATGTTATCAGATTGTGGTCAAGTCACAGACACTCCCAAAGAACAATCCAAACATTCAAACTAATATTAAAAATGCGAAAGTCTCTCTCACTCTCTCAGTAAGTTACGTTTTGCACGCCTAAACCGCTAAACCAATTTTGATGAATTTTTTATGGATATAGATGGGACCTAGGAACAGGACATAGGCCACTTTTTGCAACAAAAAGAAATCCTAAAGGGGTTGTAATAGGGGATGAAGGAGAACCAATAAAACTATGAAAATTAGAGTAATACAATAGGCTACTCGAAGTAATTATTCAATGCAAACGAAGTCGCATGCATCAGCTAGTAACCTATAATTATAATATAATTCTTAGATCACTCCTTGTATATAAGATCATTAATCACTCCCAACACCGAACATTCTGATTTGTTTGACACGGACATTATCTACATATTATGCATCTACATATAACAGGAAGGGAATCATGAGGTCACATATCAAGAACGGATTATAAACTATACAATGAACGGGCCGGACAACACATAGCTAGATAACGGTCGCCATTTAATTTTATTCATAGATGAGAAAACAAGATTCTCCTTATCATATTCACATAAAGAGAATACCGAGTAGGAAATACGTAATTCATAAACTGATGGCACACATTACTTATTAGTTACTATGGTTACTGTGTAACAGATACATCACTCGCATATAAAATCGAAAATATCTACACCAAGCGCTCACTATGAGGAAAAAGGAACCTAAGCACGCATTCAGAGAGGTGAAAATAACGTTGCCCGCCATGCGCAGTAGTGCCGAACCGAATGCTCATAAATGAAAGACATGTATGAGCTCTTGCGCTGACGTCGGCGCACTCAGCAGTAGGCACTTATCGCGTAACCTTGAGCGAGTGATGGAGCCCTACGCATGGTTTGAAGAACAATAAAGCTTAATACATATTATGTTATGGAAATATTGATTATAATGAATATCATGCTTTGCTATTATGATATCCATTTATTTATTTGTAAAATGACTCCACTACTTTGTTATAATTTATTAATACACAAAGATCGAACCCAGAGCAATATTCCTTCGATCTGATAGAACTCAAACCTGTGTCGACATGTCAATGACAATGCCAATCTAGGGCAACCGCTACTACCAACTGAGCTACGATCGAATTAGCAGATCTTACAAATTTCTATAAGCATTTGTTACAGATCTTTTTTTGTTTCGACGGTCCTACGGTCCAATGGTATTTTCTTGAACAGGCCAGAGTAATGAGACCTTCCAAACAGCAAATAGCTTCCTAGATTCCGTCTCTATTAAAGTATTCTAGTCAAGGATAAGTGACCGATACCATTAGTACAATTTCAACATGAGATGGTCTGCTGATGCTATGCTGTGGCATGTAGCGTGGGATGTATACTATTAGCTCTCCCTTTATTAACTATCCTTTGCAATTTCCTTACCAAAAACGAGTGTCACTTTACAAAAAGGGTTTAGCAGCGTACATTTTGTCAGTTGGTCGTGCGTGAATTTATGTAGCCATGCTAAACGATCATTTACATAAAAGGGAAAGCTTTTGCGAGATGAGTGTTTATGATAGGTCGGGGGATTTTGGGGAGCGGGGGAGGTGCGGTTATGAAAATAATGTCGCACTCATACACAATACAAGAGGGTAGAAATGTTATTGGCTATACGACGCCTTGTGAAAAAGGAAATGCGACAATAAGATTACAGAGTCGGTCTTGCGGTTTCGAACTATTGTTTGTTTTATTTATGTGGTGTTACTGTTACTATCCATTAATTATCTTATTTTTTTTTTTATTACAATACTAAGTGACGGGACGAACAAGTTAGCGCCTGATCGTAAGCTACACGCCTATCCATAGCACGTGCAGTGCAACTTAGAGCTTTAAATTGCAAAGATATTAGGGGCACCGTCACTGCCTCGGTTACCCTGGGACATATGCTGACAAGTAACATGCGCCTGTAACTTCACCAGCAAACTTACTCTTCGAAACCGAAACTGCTTCGCGGCAGAAATAAGTAAGTCAGTACTTCCCTGGACAAACTCTTTCTCAAGGAGCTCTCTCTACTGCTAATACCAATTAAAATTGCCTACATTTTTTATCATATTAAGTGACAGGACGAAAAAGTTGTGAGGCTAGTGGTGCCAGTAATTTCACCAACACGCTTAGCCTTCAAAACCGAAATGCAGTAATTATAAACATTATTGCTTGGGGGCAGTACTTTCCTGGATAAGCTCTTTCACAAGGAGCTCTACTGCTATCTGCTACTGAACCGTCTACATGTCTACATTTTCGAACCGTTTAAAATTAGAATGTTTATTTAAATTTATCGTAATTTTCCGACGACGCTTTGGTAACTATTTTACCAGGAAGTTAAGATAGACCTTCATTTTAGTATTTAATGTGGTATATGCCCGCAATCAATCAGAAATTCGCACCCTTTGGTGTAACAAGGTCACATCTGCAAAATGACAACTTTTTAGATAAGTTTAAAGATTCCAGAATGAAATCCATCGATAATCTCTAAGCTTAAGAGAGTTATAAAATTTCACATAATTTGTTGCGTACAGTTGGTATTATTATGATTTATACAAAGATCGAACATATAGAAAACTTTTTCGACCCGTTGGGACTTGAACCCACGACCGTACT